AGCTATCTGCTGGCAATATTTTGCCCGAAAAACGTGAGGGAGGCCTAATGAGCGCACTAAGGAACAAATAAATAACAAACAAAAATTGCTAAATTGTATAATTTAGTTCATTGGGCTTGCTAAAGCAAAAGTAATTTAAACTAATGGTTTATAAATTTAGCCTGCATGAATTAAGATATGAGTCTAGAACAATGGTTTGTTTAAGGACTTTATTTACCGAAATAGCCGCGATATCCGTCTTTGGATTTTGTATATTTTATACCAACAGAAATCCTAAATCAAGTTTCGCGAAACGAATTCTCGTACGCTGTCAGATGAATTGTCTTAATGACATTAGCTCTTGGCATCACACGCGCTTTTATGTGAAGCTTGTTCGCTGGCTAAACTTGTAATCATGTTTGGTAGAATTTTTTTAAAGGGATACCGACGCCATTGGTCGATCACCCCTGATCGACTTTTTGGCACGTAGCCAACAGGGCAAAGAACGGCGCACGGGCGACGCAGAGACATTTTCTTTCCTTCGCTTCACCGATTACTTATGCCGTCGTTATCCCTTTAAGTTGCAAATTACTAACCAGTGCAATCCAAAATTTTTTTAAGAAATAGGAAAGGTTTGAACGCCTGGCCATAACAATTTGTTTAATTTGAGGGTTTTTTCTACAACGTCGAAAACTTAAAACCTTTCTTTTAATGATGATAAAAATCACGAGATTGCTCTTGGCATCGCAAACAGAAGTGTAGTTCGTGTAGTACAAATTAGCGTAGCCAAATGGTCTGTTTTAGTGCATCCCGGAGGCGGACACATGCACGCAGCAGAGCACAGAGGCTAATTTAAATCCGCCCGTTGGTCCTGCTAATTGTAAGAAATTATGGCCTTGGGGATTGGATCCCCCCCCCCCCCCGTTAACAGGGTAGCACCGAATTTTGTATTATGACTCCGTTCTTTCTTTTTTTTTTGCGCTTCCTTCTGTTCTTCTTTGGTTGGAGGCGCCCCTGCAAGGATCGAGTACACTGGAGTACGCGCTGCAACGAACTTTGCAAAGTGGGCCGCAAGGGCATTCTTTTTTCCCACCACACAGCATCATTGTTTGCCGGGTCTGCTTTTCAATCGCTTTTGATTCATACAGTTTAAGAAATTACTGCCCCCTTCAAATAATTAGTAACCAGTTTTCCGTTTAGTGATAGGCTTTTGAGTGGTTTGTGGTAGTTTTATACTCCATCTTCTTGGCTTTCCGTCTGCCTTTGTCTTGGATGTTTCACTGCGCAAATGTTGTGTTTTCTCCCTGCATCTATCCTGCCAAAAGGGGTAGATATCCTCACTGGGGGCCGAGCCGTACTTTCCCACCCTTTCGCTCATCCTTGGGTTCATGGTATGTCCATTGCCCATCCTCGCCGTTCCATTCTAATATCTGCCAGAGATTACGCTCTAAACTTACAATCAATTTGTTAATCCATTCAGAAGGGGCGGCCATTCAAAGTTATTGAACCGAAGGTCTTCGCGTCGAGCGAGTTTTCCGCCGTCGATTGTGCAGACCTTATCTGAGGCGTTTTGTGGTGTAGAATCTATGGGCTTCCAGCTGCTAACAAGAAATACCGGGTTCCTTTCATTTGTTTTTATATTTCTGCTCCTTAAAGGTGGTTTGGCTAGAGGAGGTATCTAAAGCCATCAGGAAGGTATCGTAGTGATACTTGAAGGGGTGTTTGGTTAGGGAAGGTATCTAAAGCCATTACCGTGAGTATTCGCGGACGAAGGGAAGGGTGTCATGATGTAGGATCTCTCAACAGAAATGGCTGGAACATCTGCAAAGAAAGGCGGATGAGAACACTGAAGCTCGGGTGATGAGAGCTTCCAAGAACACATCGAGCAAAGCCGATAACGCTGGTGCGCCACCTACCACAAGCTCCACAAGCGCCTGGTTAACACAAAGATCACAATGGACTCATAGAAAATGCTTCGAATATCTTTCTGCACGACGAAGAGCAATTGGCGCGACGGGAGACGATACAAACTGAGTTTCAGAACCAGGCGTCCGGACGTGGCTTCTACTTGAAATTGGCCGAACTATCGAAAACGCCGTAATTTGAACGTTTTTATAGGATTTGCCATACCGCTATATGGTCTTATCCATGCTACTACAACCGCTCTATGCCTAGAAATCGATTTATTTTTGCAGAGTGCAATGTACACAGCTTTCGTAAAGGGATGTCTTGAGCGCCGCGCAATTCTTCATCTGCCACGCTCAGAACGACGTTTTCCGTTCTCATAATGTTGAACAACCTTCGACATTGATGGTGCAAATTTTCCGAGTACTATTCTGGATATTTTCTCCAACGTTCGCCGAAATCTCCCAGCCATCGCTAATCTCGTCGCTCGAACACCCGTCCGTTTTCATTCGTTGAAAGCTCGGTTTCAATTATTGATTTTACCCGCTAGGGATTTGTTTTTTCCCAAAACCTCGGCTTCTTCTAGGAATTTCCCGACAACCTGGCTAACAAGAACCCTCACATGATGGCTACGGCTGTCTTTGTGGATTTACACGCCGTTCTGCGTTTGTGAATTTATTGTCCTTACGGGTTGAATTCTTAATTTTTTCCCACCACTCTTATAGCAATAACTTTTAACACTTCAGGCCGACGGATCTGTTCTGCCACTTTGCTCGCCAAAAAGTTGGAAAATGATCAAATCCTTCGTTAGCTTCGATGGAATTGGCTTTTTCACAACGCTCATGTGCAGTTTTTGCTTTGAGGTTTTGAAACCCCGTCTCGCACCTGGGTTTCGTCCTCAAAAGGCTCGTTCGCATTCGTTTTCAGTTCGGAAAATTATCTGCTGACGGTTTATTATTTATCAGCGGTTCGCGGAGCTGGAAACTTTATCTTCTTGGCTCGCCACTTGTAACGGTTGTGCAATTTTGTGTGTTTATTTCCGGCAATACGCAACCCTTCCGGATGGTTTCCCTCGTGACACCTGCGGTTACTGCAGTAACTTTTGAGCTCCCACCGAAGGACATTTTCCAGGGCCTTACCCGTCAAGAAGTTGAATAGAATACGCAGCTCTTCATTTTTGCCTGGAAATTGGCTTGTTCTGTGCCCCTGCCCATATTTTGCTTGTGAAGCTCCAAAATTTCAAGGGGGCCATACAACCAGGGGCACTCGTTTCATGGGTAGGGCAAAAAGCCTGTAGAAGACCCAAATGGACCATTGAACAACTAGAAAGTGATCTAAATACTCTAAAATAAATTTAGAATCATTATACAGCGAAAATATATTTTTTTTTCGTGGCAAATACGGCTTTTAGCTTATTTTAGGGTCTTTAGCTAATTTTTCGCCCATTTCTCGACGTAATCAGAACCAGCATAGTCGAATTAGCCCGACTCGACCGATTTTACAAGCTAAAGCGCTTATACATCGATTCTACCAGTTTTTTTGCCTTATGTAAGCTTACCAGTGAAACGAGTGCCCCTGGTTATCTGGACCGCCGTGAAATTTCGCTGCCAATCTGTCAAAAGGCTGGTTCAAAATACTTTCCGTTGTGGTGTCAGCTTTGCCGGACCACATTAGATCCTCTTTCCCGGCTGTCCCTCCTATCCAGTGGGTAAGCCACCGGCGCGCGCCCCCTTGCGGTCGCGTCGCGTGCGCCACTTTCCGCCTAAGACTAGATTGTATTATCTCGTTGCGGGTCCACTTATCGGCACAGACTAGCTCTGTTGCCGATCCTCCTGCCACCATTTATGTAGATAAACAGTTGTTCGATAACTGTACGTTCAAGCGCATTCTACATCGTTCGACTACTCATTTCGAGGACCACAACACTGGCGAGCAGGATCATCAAGAACTCACGCAAGATCAAGGAATGCCCCAGCCAAGAAGCCACTCGTGCCAAGGAACGTGATCAAGGATGAAGAAAGAAGGTGGTGAAGCGCAAGAAGTCAAGTCAAGCCGACGAGACAAGGACCAAGAAAGCGACAAGGTCGAGGTCAGGGACGTCTACATGGTTGGCGAGCGACAAGGAAGAAGGCATGGCGAGAAGATCAAGGAGCAGAGCGTGCTGATGCCGGCGGGCCCATCGATGGATGATGTGCCGGTGCCGCTCGTGCAGGATCAATTGAAAGGGAGGTGTTTTGTTCCCCTTTGGCCCCCACATTTCCGGGTGGAGGGCGCGCTGCCGTTGTCGAAGAAGGAGGAGGGTGCAAGTGCCTGAAGTGCCCGGCGTCCGGCCGCCGTTTTGCCCCAAGGACCGCCACAAGCCGCGAAGGTTGCAGAAGAAAGAAGTTGGTTAGTCCTCAACCAACAAAAGGACCGAAGGAGGTGCGCGTGTCAAGCCCAAGGCCGCGTCTACAAGTGAAGCCGAAGAAGGAAAGAAGGAAAAGAAGGTCGACAAGAAGGAGGACGTGAGGTGAAGGCGATGAAGGTGAAGGAAGGACGTTGTTGGTGATCGTCTCGCTGCGCGTCGTCAAGGAGTGAAGGAAAAAGCAGATAATTCTTTCTTAAACTTTATTGTGCTTTTCACTCGATTCCTATCCCGGTCCCTCCAATCTACACTTGTTTTTTGTGTAAGGGGAGGTGTTGTGGGGCCAGCTCGCTGGACCACATTAGACTCCGCCTATCTCATGTTCCACCTGTCCCAATTTCTCCTAGGAATTCGTACTTTGTTTTGTACAAGGGGAGGTGTTGTGGTGTCAGCTTTGCTGGACCACATTAGATTCTTTCCCGGCTGTCCCTCCTATCCAGTGGGTAACCCACCGGCGCGCGCCCCCTTGCGGTCGCGTCGCGTGCGCCACTTCCCGCCTAAGACTAGATTGTATTATCTCGTTGCGGGTCCACTTATCGGCACAGACTAGCTCTGTTGTCGATCCTCCTCCTTATCCTCCTTCTACACGCTTTTTGCTCAAACGTTTTCTCCCTGGAATGACTTTGATTGAAGTGTTGGATGTCGCGTTTTGATTCCAATTTTTGCTCTCTGTGACCGCCATGGCCATATTTTACACAGTTCTTTGCAGATCATGAGCAGCCACCCCTTTTCGAACAGCCACGCGGTCAAAAGACTGTATGCCCAGATCGAAGGTATAGCTGATCCGGTCAAGAAAGGTACTTTCCTGATATTGCTTATTTTCGATCTAGTGGAGCTATTGGAGAGCCTGAAGACGATCATCCACGCCGCCGAACAAATGTGGGACAACTTGGCCGAACTGCCCGGAAGTTTGGCACGCGATTCCCAGTGTTCCGCCCTCGATCTTCTCTCGCGCACCCCACAGATATCAAGTGAGCAATAGTTGTTTTTGTTGTCATTTTTGAATAAAGCTTGGTTTATTGGTTGGGAATTGCATTTAGAAGTTCGGTTTTGCTGAGCATTTTGAAAATACCACGTTATCCTAGGGACTAATAGTGGCGCTATGACAGGGTTCTAGTTAAATCGGCGCTCATTAAAGGGATAACGAAGGCATAAGTAATCGGTGGCGCGAGGGAAGGGCAATGTTTTTGGCATCTCGCCCCTTGGCATCTTTTGCGAAAAAGCGGTCAGGAGTAATGCCGTCGGTATCTCGTAATCTCCCGATCCGCCGTTCAGAGCACGCTTGCGTGAAAGCCCATAGTGGCAAAAGCGCAAGCTCAAAGGGCTTCTTGTCTTCCTATAATTCCCTCAAATTTTGGCAATGATAATATCACGCTTTCAGTGATGCCCACCGCCGTGCCTCCATCCAAGTACCCGAGCGCCCGGCGCGATGAGAAGATCATTGACGATCTTCACGGCGTGAAAATCGCCGACCCGTACCGGTGGATGGAGGACCCGGAGAATGCCGACACGAAAAAATGGGTCGATGAGCTCAACAACGTCTCGGAGCCCTTCCTGAAGGAGGCGCCAACTAGGGAAAACCTACGTGAAAAGTACGTTTGTCGATGGGTTTCTGATTTCTTTTTTTTTAGGCTTACCGCTATCTGGGACTTCCCAAAATTTGGTGGGATCAGCACACGCGGAGGGTTCTACTACACCAGCCACAACACGGGGCTGCAAAACCAATAGTAAGCGTTTCGAGGGTTTGGTTAAAATGTATTTTAGTGTGATCTACCAATCGAAGAATCCGGAAGAGTTGGGCGAGGTGTTTTTGGACGTCAATAAGCTATCAGGTAAATAGAACCTTTTTGGGGCAAAATCCTGGTTTAGCTGATGGGACGACTTCCCTATCAACGACATCGTGGGGTAAAGACGGCACTCATTGCGCATATGGACTTTCCGAGAAGGGCTCTGACTGGGTTACGATTAAGGTATGACAACTCGGAATCATCAACTATAATAAAAAAGTAGTGGTGTCTGTCCGTCCGTCCGTCCGTCATGTCCCGGATTCAACTCGAAGGGGAAAGGAGCTAGAGCTTAGCTCTCTTCGGATTCGGATAGAGCATGGTCAGAAACCCCCAAACTGATGAAAAAATTATGAAAAAGTTTTAATTTAAATTATTAAAATTAACTTTGAAAGTGGCGCCTTAATAAAACGAGTGGGGGCCCCTCTGTCGGGAGGCCACGCCCCCTTTCCTTTCGCCCCTCTTCCCCAGGCCCCTTCGCGCGCCCAGGGGCTTTCTTGAGTTACTTTAATACTTTTAATACTTTTTAATTATGTTAATTTATTATTTAAATCATTTAAAGTATCTAAGTAGTTTTTGAAGGGGATTTCAGCCATGGGGGGTATCTGAAGCCATCAGGAAGGTATTTAGGTAGTTTTTGAAGGGGATTTCAGCCATGGGGGGTATCTGAAGCCATCAGGAAGGTATTTAGGTAGTTTTTGAAGGGGATTTCAGCCATGGGGGTATTGATGGAGGTAGGAAAGGATGTGGTGGAGTGGGACATGTGGGGTAGCCCGAAGGCCAGATGGTTGCAGTCGCGAAGCGACTGTAACCATCTGGTATAAAAATAAAAAAACTACTTCAGTTCATGAAGAATGACCGCACCCAACTTCCGGACGTCATCGATGGGGTCAAGCATTCGGGTTTAAAAATCATCAGTGGAACGCACCTGACGGAAGACGGGCGTTATTTGATCATCGATCTTACTCGTGGCTGCGATCCCTACAATATGCTTTATTATGTCGATTTGGAGAAGGTATTTCAATAAGCTTTTTGCACTTCTGTGTTTTTAGAACGGCCCGATCGTCGGAAAGGTGAACCCGGTGCCGATTGGGGACAAGCTCGGACCCGACAATTTTGAATGCATTTGATTGTTGAGCGATAAAAAATATACGAAGCGTAATGTTTTGTTTTGCCCTTCAACATGCATTCTCCAGCTTGATTTCGTTTAAGTGAAACGCTTAGAGATTTAACAACCTGCGATCGGAACCGACAAGAATCAGATTTATTGGTATTAATTGACTGGTCAAAAACACCTGCGCAATTCATAATGAATTTGGTAACTGAGCTAGAGATTTCGAAAGAAAAACAAACAAGAATTCTGGAATCACAAACAAATGAGCGGCCATAAATCGAAATCGAGCGGCAGGACAGTTAGCCACGCCATTCAAGGTCCAGTACACGCTGCAAGAAGGAGTACATGTCCACATATTCGGCAATCTAAACAATAGATTATTTTCTCGTCAAAAACTCAAAGACGTACCACTTTGTGGGTCGGTTTCCCGGCGCCGTGCCCGGCAGATACTTCGATTCGGGCGAGAAGGGGCTGCGACTGGGCCGGCTGTTGTTTCGCCTAAGCAACATGAAATATGTCTCGCAATGTAATATCAAGTAATCTTTTTGCTAGGATTTTGTTGTATTTCAAGTGGAAAACTATATGCAAACTCCTGATTAAAAATTTTAAAGGAATTTTTGACATTTGTCATCAAAAACCGGTCAAAGTAAGTTTTTAGTTTTCTTTAAATAGGAATTTATCAAGTTTTCACGTTTGCATTATCAAAATTCAGTCGTAATTCAAGTGGGGGCTTTTTCAAAACTTCAAAAAATTTTTGTTAAAAATTTGAATTTTGTAATCGAAAAACGGCGATTTTTGTTGGAAAATCAAACTTTTTAATTTTTTGAATAGACAAAGCTTTTACACCTATGAATACAAAAACAGTCTAAAACCGTACCTTATGATACAATTCGGCTACATATTTCAGGGTGTGGGCGGGCACGACGCGATCATCATGGTCAGCCGTCATCAGCAGCGTGGCGGGCCATTGTCCATTGCTCGGGAAGCTGATGTTGTGGAGTGGGGAGTACCTGAAAGAAAGAATACTTTCTAAGCGTTCACAAACTTGGAAAGGAATTCAAAATCCTTGGCCTCATCGGGGTTTCCATATTCGGGGACCCAAGCCGCGCCAATGGTGAATTTGTGGAAGCGGAGCATATCGAGGACGCTGGAAATGGATTTGAAACCGAAATAAGGGCTCCGCTACCCGACTCGATTGATGACGGCTCCGAAAAGTTCCGGACGCTGTTGAGAGCACGCGCCCATCAGGAGACCACCATTCGAGCCGCCTTGAATCGCAAGCCTAAACAGCGTAATTTTCGATTGATGTAGATTTTAGCGTACTTTTCAGGGCACGTATACTTGGCATCGATCAGCGCCTTCGCTGCAGCTTGGAAGTCGTCAAATGTGTTTTGCTTATTCTCGCGCATCCCTCCTTGATGCCATTTCTCGCCGTATTCCCTGAAAAAGGGCGTTAAAGGATAGAAAAAAGGATTACCCGCCGCCTCGCAGATTAGCAACAGCCACAACGCCTCCAAAGTACTTGAGGAAGCAGAGCCGGGTGATCGAGAAGGTCGGCACATCCGGGATGTTGAACCCACCTAAAAATAAGTACCATCAAAACAGTCGATAATACCGTATCCATTCAAAAATGTCGGGTTTTTGCCATTCAGCTCAATGTCCTTGCGGCAGATGATGAACATGTTGACCTTGGTCCCGTCGCGGCTGGGCACTTTTATTTGACGAGTCTCGAATTCCGAGACGTCCATGTTGTTCAACTTGACGCGACGGATCTCCTAAAAAAATTACTTTACAAAATTCCACTTTATTTGATCTTTTTTACGGAGTTTAACTGTAAATTTCTTATAACTGTAGTTTTCTACGTAACTAAGATTAATCTAATCCGTCTTTGTAAACCTAACAATCTTGAGTTTAATATTCTGGATTAGTTACCCGGAGTTCCGGCATCTTGTTCGCGGGCACGTCCTTGAAATTCATCCCGTACACGATTGTCGGCGTCAGGAAGGAGTCCACGGTGAAAAACAGCTCATCCTTGTTCCAGCGCATGAAGCAAGACCTAAAAGGAAATGAAGGTAGAAGCAATTTACAAACATGAGCGTGCCGATCCCGAGCGGAATTTGGTAGTACTTCTCGCCGGTGGAGATATCGTGCGCGTACAGGGTGCTCTAAAAGAAATATTGCGGTAAAGAAACAAGTAGTACGATGCAATCCTCGAGGTAGGAGAGCATCAGCAGCTTCCCAGCGGCCGGGGAGCCCCAGCTCAGCTTGTGCTCCTTCTCGTCGATGAACGGGGTGTGCTTGTTTACGTCTAAATTGGGTAAATCAAATAGCTCGACCCAAGAAAATTACCGCTCAAGTGCAGCTTGAAAATACGATAGTTTGGCGCATCCTTGTCGGTGTGGATGTAAAATTCCTCGCCAAAATTGTGCACATACTAAAATTGACAATGGTATGCATAAAAAAGCGTTTTAGTTTACTGAAATTTAATTTTCAAAAAAAAACGAGCCTACATGATATTTCGATTCGAGCTTGTCCACAATCGGCACCGGGTTCACCTTCCCGACGATAGGGCCGTTCTAAAAAAAAACGATAAAATAACAAAAAGCTGACTAAAATACCTTCTCCAAATCGACATAATAAAGCATATTGTAGGGATCGCAGCCACGGGTCAGATCAATGATCAAATAACGCCCGTCTTCCGTCACGTGCGTCCCACTGAAGATTTTTTTCAACACGAAAATCCTGGTTTACATCATGATATCCGGGTTTGCGCGATAGTCGTAAACGAGCACGTCATCTTTCTGGTCCGTCCCCAGCTTGTGGAAGTAGAGGGAGTGGAACTCGTGCTTGTCCACAGACGTCCCTTCTTTGGCGCCCTAAAGAAAAAGTATTACCTTAGTTACAATTCTCACGTGATGTTCCGGGTATTTGCAGTAAAAGACCCCGCTTCCATCAGGCATCCAAGAGATCCCGGAATGCTTGACCCCGTCGATGACGTCCGGAAGTTGGGTGCGGTCATTTTTCATGAACTGAAGAAGTTTTTTTAACTTTTAGACTCCAAATTATCATACCTTAATCGTAACCCAGTCAGAGCCCTTCTCGGACAGCCCATACGCGTAATGAGTGCCGTCTTTGCTCCACGATGTCGTTGAGAGGGAAGTCGTCCCATCAGCTGAATCAGAGTTTTGCTCGAAAGGGGCCTGATACCTGATAGCTTATTAACGTCCAAAAACACCTCGCCCAACTCTTCCGGCTTCTTCGATTGGTAGATCACACTAAAAAACATTTTCACTAAACTCTGGAAACGCTTACTATTGGTTTTGAAGCCCCGTGTTGTGACTGGTGTAGTAGAACCCTCCGCGCGTGCTGATTCCACCAAATTTCGGGTAGTCCCAGATGGCGGTAAGCCTAAAAAAGACATCAGAAACCCATCGACAAACATACTTTTCGCGTAGCTTTTCCCTAGATGGCGCCTCCTTCAGGAAGGGCTCCGAGACGTTGTTGAGCTCATCGACCCATTTTTTCGTGTCGGCATTCTCGGGGTCCTCCATCCACCGGTACGGGTCGGCGATTTTCACGCCGTGCAGATCGTCAATGATCTTCTCATCGCGCCGGGCGCTCGGGTACTTGGATGGAGGTACGGCGGTGGGCATCACTGAAAGCGTAATATTATTATCACCAAAATTTCAAGCGACGAATTTCAGAAACTGAGAACAAAAAGCAAATTTCAAGGCGCGGTTGTCACGCGAGTCGTTTCCATTGAATTGTGAGAGCGGCTGGCACCGGTTTCCACCGGTCAATAGGGCGGAATAAATCAACGACCCATGTGCTGACTACATAACGGGAGGAATAAGACTAACCGCTTGCTCTTCTTGTAGCTAGCAGCAGGTTTATAAGGCGAGCACGTCTCAGCATCCAACGATAACGCCCAATTGAAGCTTGCGATCGTTTAGCCGAGTCTGCAAGTAAAACAATAAGTTGCGCAAGGGATTTCTAGGGGGTTTTCAGCCCGGGATTGAAACGGATCGGAGGGTAGATGGAAATTTTGAGGTAGCAGAATGATCTTTGGAAAGAGAGAACATGTTATACAGCAGCTCATTCGTAAGGGCACGGTCATTTTCCCATCTGGGAGTGAACGTTTGGATCGTAGGGCTAAGGAGAGGGGCTGCGCGCGAGGGAGCGCCATTCAAAAATAGGGCACCAAGCCCCGGTCGTTTAGGTATCGTGTTTGGACATGAATGGCGAGGGATTCGCAAAATAAAAGCTTCTAATAGCTTTAATATCATTTATCTAGCTCGGCGAGAAGGAGTGAGCAGAGAACTTGCCTTTTTGTTTGATTGGATCGTCGATCGCGTAAAAATCGAGATTTTTAAAAGAGTTATTAGAACTGGAAACAATCCAAGCGGTCAAAGCGGAACTATATTTTTTGTCGCAATTTTTGGAAGCTTTTGTAAAACTAAATGTTTGGAAATAAAAATTGGCCAAATGCCAAACATTTCGCTAAACGACGAATAACTCGCGAGCGTATACTGTAGTATTTCGGAAATCGAGGTAAAGCTGAATACAAAATTTTTTTAATATTGTTTTAATTTTAGAAAGTCTGGATTGCTTTCCTTATCCTTTTTCTCTCCTTTTCTCGCTTCGAACAATTTAGTATCATTTCTTTTTTTCTAGGCACGGCCCCAACATGAGCGACGATGTGGAGAATGTGACGCTGCAGCTCCTCGAACTCAAGCTATGGTACATTCAGGTGGCTGCCGTTTTCCCTTTCCAACTCTTATTTTTTTAGTTAGTACCTCAGGAACGCTCCCTGCGCGTGGCCGGCTTTCTGCAGTACCAGGAAAACACGCTTCGACGCTACATCTCGAGCACCATAATTGAAAGGTGAATTTAGGCTCGTTGCTGTCGAAACGACTGTTTTAGGGAGTCGGCCGTCTGCGTGATGACAAACACGCGTGCTTTTCGGCTCATAGGCGGGATGGATCTACCGACGGCCCTTTGCAATGGTAAATACACGAGAAAAGATCGTTCTTTATTATCCCGCGAGGAAGATCCGAATTTTATGATATTAATGGATAAGGTGTTTCTAAACAGATTTTTACTACTACGCGTCAAAATTGCAGAGTTCTATTAAAGCTGCAAAAAATACAGTTTTTCCAGCAAAATTTCAATTTTTTTTAGCAGTTTTTAAAAGTTTAACAGTAGTTTTGGTAGATAGCAGATTTTTACTATAAAGGCTTAAGATATGTTAATATCTGGAATCTAGACATATAGGAAAAAAAATTCGTATCCCATTGAAGTACGAAAAACCAAATTGTATCCTTGAATTGATTTTAGGGGTTCCTACCGAGCTAGCCGAACACTTTCGGAAGGGCTTCCCGGCCAATTGGAAGGAGCTGGTCGAGGACTACATGGCCGACCACGACAAGTCGCATTGGGCCCCGGACTCTGACCGATTCAGCGAGACCGTCCTCGGCACATCCGTTTACGACAGGACTTCACTTATTGTTGGTTTCATCCCTCATAACTCATTTTTTTCGTTTAGCCTCCCAGAAAGTCGTCCCTTCAAATCCATGGGCCGATGATGACCAAGTCGGTTCGCCGTTCAAAAGCGTTTCGGGGTGACTGCACGCAGACGGCGGATCGAACTCGTGTCCCGCCTGCAAGCCCTTGCACCGAGGAAAACCGGTATGGATGCTTTGATTTTCGAAAATACATTGTGTTTTTAGCGAGTCGACGGAACTTCCGCGGCGAAGCCCGCGCTTTGTCCATACGGGTCGGGAGGAATTGAGCCAAGAAAAACCGGAGGGGAGCCGCGAGGAGAAACGACGAAGCATTCTGCGCAAATCTATCGCTGTTGTCGATGAGGAGAAAAACGGGCTGTCCGAGGTGCGGAGTGGCGGATTTGTTTGCTAGCATAATTTTGAAATATAGCAGGTCTAGATTTCAATATTTCGAAAAAACCAGTGTTTAATGTTTGGTACTGGACTGTTAGCGGGGGAAGCTGAATTTTTTGTTTCTTCCTATTGATAATACCTAACGTATTTTTAGTTTTTTACTAGTTTTTGATTTCTCAGAAGTTATATAAAAATTTGAGAATTCGAAGATTTTGGCCACTTTTAATACATTTTTTACCAAAAATGTTTCAAAAATTTTTAGAATTTTTGTGAACTTTTGTTATTTTAAAACTGTTCAAAATGCTATAAAAACGCGTGGTATTTCGTTATAGGATCACACGAGATTAATTCCGCAAATTAATTTTTTGGCCCTAGCACCTATCTTCTTTTATTTAGGAAGCACCGCGACCTCGCCGGAAAAGCGTACTTTTCAAGTCTCCTGCGAAAACAGCCATGACCCCGGAAGCAGCAACAGTCCCCACTGAAGAAGATATCTCGGACATCATCAACGAGGCCATGCAGCATCCGCTTGTCGCCTTGGAGGGCTGGATGTTCTGCTACGCTCCGAACCCAGACGTTGATCACCCAGCGATCTCCATCACAGGCATGGTCTACGAGTAAGAAACGCGGGCTTTGCGCAAAACAGTTTTAGAGAGGATTCTGGCGTGTGGGAAGACGTTACCACGAATGAGGTCATTCACGTCGAGGGCTCGACGATTGTCTATACGCGCTCCGGCTCTAGGTATCTTTGCATGCGCTTCTAAAAACTATTTTAGATACGCCCTCGGGGCATTTGACGATGTCGTTAAATTCGGCCTACCGGCCAGCCTGGCCAAAACTTTTGCTCATGGTCTCCCGGAAGACTGGAAAGAGAGGCTTCTCGACATCTATCAGTGAGTTTTGGCTGCTTTCGATGAAATTTGCTGTTTTAGAAAATACGTCCGGCCCCAACTTGATGAATCTGATGATGAAGAGGAACCCGGGCAGAAAACTTCAAAAACGCCACGATGTCTCTTCACACCCGTTCGTGTGTCTAAGCCGAGGTACTAATAATTCCGCTTAATTATGTTTCGGCTTTCTCTAGGAAGTCCCTTGGAAACGCGGATAAGCCCCCAAGCCGGCCTATTCTGGCGTTTTCCGACGACGAGCGGGAAAGTGACGAAGAAGCCTCACCTGTGCGGCCGCCGAAAAAGATCGAGGAGAACAATACGCACCGAACGAAGACCAATGTGAAGCAGGCGAATCAAGTCAACACTTCTCATGCTGCCAAGAAACCGGCTTTCTCGACGAAGCGCCTATGTAAGGATTTGAGGTTGATTTTCGATTGATCGTATTTTTTCTCATATTAACTTTTGTTTTTAGCGACGCTGGACGAACATGAAGAGGAAAATCGCTCAACCTTTGACGCCGACGGATTCCGAATCCGTACATTTTTCCCTGATTCCAAACTTATGTTTTTTTAGCGAAGGGCCGGGCGTCAGTGGGAAGCCGAAAATCTCTGAGCACGGCAGAGGCTCGTCAGTCCTACATCCCGGGTGTGACGGCGGTTGAAGGTTATCTTCGCTAATATGGTTGGTAAAATTGCTGTTTAGACGTGAAGACAACAAGGTACGGCCGGCTATCCCACCGTCCGTTGGCACAGTGGGCCGGCGAGGGAAAAGTTCTTGACACGAATGGAGATGTGATTGGCGTGACTGGGATCACCACGCAGACCGTGCTCACCGTCAATCGAGGATACGCACCGGACTTGGTAAATAAATTTATGGTAATTTGAAAATTTGAAAAGTAGAAAATTTAGACATTTTTGGTCGATAAAGCGATGATTTTTGTATCTATAAAATAATACGGTTTTATGTTCTGGAAACAGTCAAAAAGTCTATCAGGCTATCAATTAATTTTCAGCCAGCCATCAGTCGATTCCACGGATTTGCGGGCACCCCACTGCGCAACACGAAGCAAGCTCAACGTGGCCTCCATCGTCCGGATCCCGAACCAAAAGTCATCCGCCGATCCACCGAGCACAAGCCCAACCGGGTTAGCGAACCATTTTTAATTTTTACAATGCATTTAGGGCTACGACTCGGAAGAGGAGGACGAGACGCTCGAGCGAATGAAACAATTATACGATGAGGAGAGCCCCATCATCAAGGGCAGTCGCAATAAGAAAAGAGTGAGCTGAACAGGAGAATCTTAATTATTCCTCTTTTTAGATTGATTCCTCTTCTGAAGAGGAGAGCAGTTCTGAAGCTAGCTCGTCCTCCGACGAAGAGCCTGCTCCACGAAAACCGCAGCCAAAGCGCGCGGAACAGCCGAAGCCGAAGAACACCAAAAAGCCAGCGCCCAAGGAGACGAGACCTAAGGAGAACGCAACTGGTTATTTAAAGTAATCGAGATCAATAACATATTTTCTAGACAAAAAGAAGAAGCCAACCACCAGCAAGCCGGCCCCTGTCTTTGCAGCTCCAGCCCCTAAGAAACCAAAGAAGCAGACTGCGGAAGAAAAAGCCCAATATGAAAAGAACTTGCGGTTATTACAGGTATACTACGAAACGATAATCTAACTTCTAAATAGGGATCGCTAAAAATCATTTCTGTCCGAAACGAAGACGACTGGAAAAAGGTTGAGAAACGGCTGAATGGCGTGTTTGATGCGGCGACATGCAAGAAGCTGGTAGTTGTCAGCGATAAAACAATTTAATCTTTTTTTATAGGCAATCGAGAAAGGGTTCTACAAATCAACGCAGACGCAGGCAGAATCAAGCAACGAGCCTGCTGTCAAAATCACGGCCCGTCAAGGAACGACCGCCTACAATATGCAAGCCGACAAATATATACGGTATATTTTTGTGGCTAAAAAAAACTTTTAAAAGCGGACTTCGTTTTCAAAAAAAAGAAAACCGACGAAGAACAAAAACTAACTGACTCGCGACGTTTTCTTATTTTTATTTAGCAATCACATGACGACAGGCGGAACTGCTGACTTTTTTGGCAAGATGGCCGCGGAAGAAGAGGTTATTTCCATTTTATTTTCGTTTAGAAAACGTTTTTAGGATAAGGAAGAGTCGCTGGATTTGGACGACTCGATGCTTGAGTTGATGGTCACGCCAAAGCTCGACAAGAACTCGAAAAAGTCCGATGCCAGCAGCACCAGTCGCCGTGGTGGAAAGAACGGTGAAATCAACACGTAAACTTTATAATTGAATTTTTAGAAGTGCTAAAAATGATTGAAAATGATCAGACGGGCAAACGGTCTCGCCGGCGCTCCTCCTCGCCACAACTCCCCGGCACTGCCGAAAGGTGAGCATTTTTAAATTGATTTTACAATCTTTTAGGGAACGGAACCAACGCTACGTCTCCCACCGCATCAACAGCACGATCAATTCGACCCTGCTGAACGGCACGTCGCTCAACTACAGCAAGCGTTGAGCCCTATTTGAAAAACTGTGAACCCACATACCCTTTGTTTGTTGCATGCATTATAATCACTAGAACTTTGCAAACTTGTATTCTACCCAAATGCTACCTCCGCATAGACACCATGCCCCCCGTCCCCTTGCCCTGGAATAAAGGATTACAATCGTAAGCAGATACAGCAGCTAAGAGTTTGAAAAATGATCTTGGTTATCATAGCTCTCTGGAGAAGAAGCGGGAAAAAGCTTGGGTGGTCCTGCCCTTGGTGGTCCGTCTTTTACTAACAACACTGAGCCCGTGTGGCCAAGAGCGATCCCAGACTAAAGGGACTTGAAGGCAATGTTAAACGAAAAACTTTGTTTTAGGGCTTCTAAATGCAGCGGAAGTGCTTTGAAAAGCTTGCTTTTAGAGAGAACGCTCTCTAAATCCACCCTAAGTTCTGATTAGTTCATTAGGAGTAGCGATTTGTCTTTTCCGCAGCTTTTAAAAGTTATTTTCCTTTTTATGATCAAACTTCTAAGCTTGTGATAATAGTCTGATTTGCAGGAACGACTACTGCCCGGATGCGAAGTGATGGCGCAGACTGTTCTCGTCACCGGGGCCGCTAGCTCCATAGGGCGAGCCGTCGTCGAGCGGCTGGCTACCCACGGCCACCGAATTGCCGCCGCCGACACCGCAAAGCAGCTGAGCGAGCTGAAGGAGCATTTGAAAAAGGTGAAAATTCATAAAGGTCCTTAGACCTTGATTTTAGATAAAAGGCGATATCGCCCCCGTCGAAGTTGACGTCACAAAAGCAGAGCATCGCAAAGAATTATTTCAAAAAGTGAGAAATGTTTAATTTGAACAATTTTTTTTGCTTTTTTTCAGGTAGAGTCAGCTCTTGGCCCCATCGATAGTTTGATCATCTGCCCGGGGCAGAACCCCTCCCGCGGCAACACAATCGATGAAACATGCGCCGGGATGCTGGACAAGGTTAAAAATAATTTCTTATTTGATTGAGATTTTTAGGTGATGACTCAATATGTCACGACGCCTTTCCGGTTGGCACAACAGGGCATGGACTCGCTCCAAAAATCTAAGTAAGAAACCCGGGTCTCTTCTTCATTATTTTCATTATTTTTAGAAACGGCAGCATCGTGTTTTTTGGGTCTATCGGCGGCTTCCAGCCAATGATCGACCTCGGAATGTATAGTGTAGCTTCCTCAGCCGTGTTGGCGTTGACAAAGGTTTGTGGTTGCTTAGAGTTTAGACTTTTTTTATTAGGCTGGGTTCTTTAGGATTTCCGGGGAAGTATTTCCGGGGGGGAACCAGCCCAAGCCTAAATTTTTTCTAAATAGCGCATGCGTTTCTAAATGGTTTTTAACTATTCCTGAGCATAAAAACTACCCACATTTTAATTAAAAAATTTAATTTTAGGTTGAAAAATTTTTCGACTTTTTCGACTTTTTCAAACATTTTTCTAACTTTTTTGAAAGGTTTTTCCACTTTAAATATAGTTAAAATTTACTAAAAACAATGTGAAAACACTTTATATTTGATTACTAGGTCAACCGGGAAAAACAGGAAAAAATTTGGTTTCCCCCGGAAATACTTTCCCCCGGAAATCCTAAAGAACCTTAGGCTGTTGCCATGAGCGCCGCGACAAGAAAAGTGCGCGCAAATGCTGTGATTAGCGGGATGATTGATGGTTTGTAATTTTTTGTTCTTTTTTCGGTCCTGCAAATAAAGTTAAAACTTTATTTAGGTGATGGCTCTTCAGCGGTTTGGGACTCTGGGTTCGAGATTTTTGAGAACGAATCAATTGCGAAGGTAATGACAATTTGCCGCTTATATTTTTGTTTAGACTCGCGAGGCCATCCCGCAGATGATCCCACTCGGACGCCTCGGACAACCCGCAGACATTGCCGGCGCCGTCTCATTCCTCATATCCACTAACGCCAGATATATTACGGGAGAAAATCTAGTGCTCAGCGGCGGTGTACAAGTTCGGTTCTAGTTCTTTGCTCACTTGTTGATATGATCTGTGTATTTTTGCTGTTAGAATTTTCGCTAGGATAAAGCATTTCAATTACCATGTGCGAGTCACAGAGAAGTGTCGCGGAAAAGTTTCACAAATATTGTCATTGCATTTGGGTATCCGGGTTTACTGATCGTCTTTAGTTGCTGAATGCTACTCCGCTTTTTGGGGTCGAGGTTTTCGAGTAGTGCTGCGGCATCGAGCATAATACCTGATACGACTTTTAAAGTATCGGAATCTTTGAAAGGATGGGCACGACCGGGACCGAGAATCAGCAACGAGGAATACGCCGCGCGAAGGGAGCGGCTGGTTGCCGGGATTCGGAAGCGCCATCCCCCATCGCAACATCGTAATTTGTTGATATTATTGCAAGGTTTGTTAGAATTTTCTGTCTGTATTAGCCTAAAATTTAGCCAATTTTATCCAAGCGCTCTGCTTTTCAGGGTCAAAGCTTCACTACATCGCCCCAGACGTCGTCACCCACTACCGGCAATGCTCGAATTTCCGCTACTTGACCGGCATCACAGAACCTGGCGCGATTTATGCGATGCACGTGGCCGAGAAGGGAGACGTGCGCTGCTACCTCTTCCTCGACAAGAAGACGTCACACGAGGAGCTTTGGGAGGTGAGAGAACAGCTTTTTTCGTTCTAAGCAATCCTTTCTAGGGACCCTCCCCAGATCACACCGAACTTGTCTCGACATCCGGTGCCGTTGACGTGCTTCCCGTGCGGCAATTCCTCGGCTTCCTCGATAAGACGGCGAAGGGGTAATTTTTATGAACTCTCTTGCTCGTTTTTCACTTTTTTTACTCCTTTATTATTTTGCTTAGAGCCTTCCTTTGCTACGATTTTGACGGGAATTGGAACGCCGAAACCAAGCAGCAGCTCGCCGGCGGATCCTCGATGGCATCGATCAAAAACGAGCTTCATCTTTTGAGGTGAAAATCTCGCAGTTATAAAAAAATATTTTTAGAGTGCAAAAGTCGCCCAAGGAGGTTGAGATGATGAGACACGTGTGCGAAGTCGGATCCGTCGCGCTCACAGCAACAATCTCAAAATCAAAACATGTTTATCACGAAAACGAGATACGGGGAAGGATGGAGCTGGAATCGAGAAGGAGAGGGGCCGAGGTAGTGGTTTTTCAAAAAGCTGCAGATTTTTAAAGCCGACTTTATACACTAGCTCGAATTTCTGTATTTTTAGGCATTGGCGTATCTTCCGGTGATTGCCGGCGGCCCTCGTGCGAATACCATCCATTACCTGAATGCCAACTCGTCACTCCGACCCACCGACACGGTTTTAATGGACGCGGGATGCGATATTAATGGCTATGTGTCAGATATTACGAGGTATAAACCGAATAACCCAATAATTTTTTATTATTCAGGTGCTTTCCGGTCAGCGGCCGCTGGTCGGACCCGCAGCGGGTGGTCTACGATGCCCTCAATTTGGTGCAAACAAATCTGCTTCATTACGCCAACAACAATGAGGTATGGGACGTAAATCAAAAAGTTCAAATTGAAAATTATTATTTTCAGTGCAGCCTGAGCACGCTGTTCCACCGGATGAACGAATACCTGGCGGCGGCGATGCGCGAGGCGGGCATGCTATCGAATAAGCTGAGCGACCAGGAATTGCTGAGGGTATGTTTGGTTTTGTGTTTTTTTTGTGGAGCTGGCCTATTAGCGGGGGTACTATTGACCTATCCCATCTCGCAAGAAAATTCATGTGGGTTTCATATCGTAGTTTTTGCTTACTAAAAGGTCAAAATCACTTTAAAAAATTAAAAAACGAATTTTTAGAAATTATTATAATTTTAGGAACTTTCTATGCTTAAAAACGGCGTAAAAAGCTGCATAAATTATCTGTATTTCAGGAGGCTAACGCTCTATGCCCACACCACGTCTCCCACTACCTCGGTATGGACGTCCACGACTGTGACACCGTTGCCAAGAATATGAATCTGCAGCCCGGAATGGCCTTTACGATAGAGCCGGGTAGAAATTCCAACCCTATAATGCTACGAATTTAGGCGTCTACATCCCGGATGACCGTAAAAATGTGCCGAAGGAATTCCGTGGTATCGGATACCGAATCGAGGACGATGTGGTGCGAACGGAGAGCGGGATCGAGTAATTTAATTTTTTTGGATAATTGCTTTTTAGAGTGCTGACCGAAAGCTGCCAACGAGACTCGTCAACCATCGAAGTGCTCATGAACGAATAGTTCTTTCATTAGGTCTTATGAATTTCCTGTACTAATAAAGATGTATTAAAAAGGGTTTATACATTGTATATTTGATCTTTGGTATGTGACCCGGTAATTTGCAGAGGTTAATACTTTGATCGCGTAGTTTTCGAATTAGGTATGCGGTCGAGGTATCGGTGTGGAGCCGGTAATATGGGGTATTGTTCGCGCGTCGATCGCTCGAATGACAGTAAATGCGAAAAGGGCGTTGAGGAGTGGCTTGGCAATGATTAGATTGTAGAAAACGGCCTGGTAGCTCAAGAAGAAATCTAGGGAAACCAGGCGAATTGTATCTGGTATAACGCAGGAGATAAGGACGGCGAATACTATAGCGCCTGAAAAAGATGATAGTTTTTCAGGAGAAAGTTTCTAAACTCACCTGCACGCAGCGCAAGCCGAATCGCCCGACGATCATAGTTTTTAGGCCGGTTTGCCAATTTTAGGCGCATATGCAATAACGTCCATGTGACGGGCAGGTAGACGATAACTGCTAGCGAACTGAAGAGTAAACGAGCGGATATTGATGGCAACTGGAAGTGACGAGGCATGTAGTCAGACGGACAAAGTATAGATGTGGGATACGGATCTATGCTGAGCCACAGCACGAAAATGATAGTGGTGGTGACAAGCAGAGTTCCGCTGATCGCTGAAATGTATAATGGCGTACTGGGTGCTTGCGGGGAAAATGTGTAAAAACAGCCATTTTCTCGTTGAGATCCAATTTTAGCTAATAGTATAAATAGAAAAATAATTGAGCTTTTTTCACTATTCCTCAGCTCAAAAATATAGAAATTATTATTTAAAAAAATCAAATATAAATTTTCAGCAAAAATCGGCAATTTTTACCACTATTTTGGCGTTTAAGCTGTTTAAAAGTTACTTAGAGAGTTTTTATACTTCAAATAAGCTGGATTTTACTGAAATGCATATCTACTTATAGGAGAAAAGTCCCCCCCCCCCGATAATGCGAAAGCTCCGGTGTGTTCATTTTTTATATGCCCTACCAAGAAACACCACTGTCAAATGTGTGGCTGTCAGTTTCCGGTAGAATATTGGAAACTGGATCATCAGCAGCTTGTCCAGCGAGAAAATGAAGTCGGCCAACCCGGTATAGGGAAAACTGTAGAGGAGCACGTACGAAAACCCATTTTTCAGACAGTCGCGATGATTTATAACGGTGGTCGCTGGAATCTCAGGTTTTTAGTGATTTTTTAGGCTTACGGTCAAAGAAGAGGTAGACCAACAAGCGACGCGCCATCGAGACGCCGTTCCCGATGGCGTAGGTGCAGTCGGCGACGCAGAGGAATAGTGTGACGGCCATTTCCTTGCGGAAAATACGCTGTTTTGCGCAGTAGATGAGCACGAACAGGTTCGAGGAGAGGACGATTGTGTCTGAATATGTGAGCGAAATTTTGGACCAATTTTTGCTGCGCGATTCCGCTTTTCAAAAAGTTTTAGGCTGCGCATTTTGGGCTCAAAATTCCTCTTTATATTTGTAATACAAAAATGAGGTGCTTTGGCATTATCGGGGGGGGGGGACTTTACAATTTTTCATCAAAAATTATAGTTTTTCCCGGGAAAAATCCGCTTTTCGGAGCAAAATTTTGAATTTTTAAAAATGTTGGAGTTTTTTTTATATAGTTTTCGACTTGATTATAGTTAAATTTTGCGAAAAAAGCGATTAAAATTGTTATTATTTTATTCGAAATTTCTGGACGTATAAAAAAATTAGTCTCCCCCCGATAATGCAAAAGCTCCGAAATGTCGGAAAATGATGGTTTTCCTCGCCAACTTTAAATAGACTTACTAAAAACATTCTGAACGGTAATGTTGATGACGTCGAAGGCGGACATTGCAAATTTAGGAGAGTTTGGAGGGGTAGTGCCGCCGAACTATGTGAGCCTGGTGTATTTTTGGTCTTCCTTGGCAGCGTGTGAAGCCGGAAAATGCGAATTAGGCGCACCTGGGGGATAATAAGTTGAAAACGTGCGCGAGCTATTGTATAGTTTATAAATTAAAAAAGAATTATGTTTATCGATAAAGAAAATTAGGGCATTTAACGGGAACTGAACAAAGGAAGAGCAGAAAGAGCAATGAAGAGAAGCCCCAATTTTGAAAAGGAAACGGTACTGCTCTGTTAGCGAGGAGCTAATTTTTCTTTGTATCTGTCGCCTGTTAATAATCGGTAAAGCATGTTTAGACTGTTTTTAGTAGTTTTTGATTTCTCGGAAGTTATAAGCAATATTAACACTTAACCAAATTGAATTTTTTGTCTTTTTGATAATTTTTTATACTCTTTTGACAAAAACTTAGAAAAGAAATGGCGACATGATAACTTTTAAAAATGTCGTAAGTCATAATATCGAATTTATATTGTCGACATTTCATAATGTCGACAATCAGAATGTCGAAATTCAAAATGTCGACATTTAGAATGCGGAAAATCATATTGTCGAAATACAAAATCGAGAAAACAAAATAGAATTTCTTGCATATTTCTTGCATATAACGAAATTGCATATTGTCGAGATTTCTCCCGGAATATCCACAAAGTATGCAGGAAATTCGACATTGTGAAATTTCGACATTGTGACATTTCGACATTGTGAAATTTCGGCATTATGAAATTTCGGCATTAAGGTCTTTAAGAGATTGGGAATTTAACAGACTTAAAAGTAGTTTGTGTTGTATGTAGATTAACTTTTTGAGTACATTCGTCAGCCACCCGCCTTACAAGAATCCAGCCCCCTATTCGCACGCCCATTAATTTATTTGCCCCGCCAAATTTTTGCTATCTCGCTGCGTGGACATGGAGATGTTTTTCGTGGCGACTTTTCGGTCTTCCTCATTCAGGGATCTGATGATGGTGGCGGCAAAGTAGATGTTCACCAACGGCTTGACGGTCATTAGGTTGAAAAATAGGGTTTGGTAGTGGAGGAAGAAGGGGAGGAAGAAGACACGGATACTGTCGGGGATGACGTAGGAGATCAGGACGGCTAGGACGATTGTTCCTGAAAATTGACGGTTGAGAGGGACAGGCTAGCAGTGATTCTTAGGGAATTGATGGAAAAACGGGGAGGCGAGCTAGCAATGATCAGTGAAGAAGCGAGGGCCGGCTAGCAGTGGTCATTGAGGAAGCGCGAAGGCATGAATTACAGTTATAGTAACCTACCTCCCCTAATCGCCAGTCTGACCCCCTTCCTTTCATGGGCCTTTCGGCGTGATAGCCCGCCAAGCCGTGCCCGTACGATGTAAATAAGTACTGGAACGTAGGCTACCACCGAGAGGGTTGTCAGGGCCAGCTGGGCCCAGACGGAGGGGAGCTGGAATCGGCTGGGCATGTAGTCGGAGGAGCATAGAATTGTTGTCTCGTAGGGGTCCATATTAAACCATTCGATAGCAATCCAAAGTGTGGTTCCGCAAAAGAGAAGGGTGATACCTGAGTTTTAAGGTGTGGATGAGAGAGAGAGAGAGAGAGAGAGAGAGAGAGAGAGAGAGAGATAGAGAGAGAGAGAGTGAGAGAGAAAACTTACCCAAAAATACATAGTAAAACCTGCGAACCGGAATCTCGCGGTAGAAGAACGGATACTTGACCATGATGAGCTTGTCGATGGAAAAGATAAAATCAGCAAAACCGGTATATGGGAAGCTGTAGAGGATCAAGAAAGAGTAGAACTGCTTCATGCAGTACAGGTTGTTGACGATGATTGTTGCTAAATTTTTGTTTGTGTAGATAAAGGGAGAGAAAGAGAGAGAGAGAGAGAGAGAGAGAGAGAGAGAGAGCGAGAGAGAGAGCGAGCGAAAGAGAGCAACAGACAAAACCTACGATCCAGAAATAGGTAGATGTACAACCGGCGAGCCATCGAATACGCATTTGCCAGAGCATAAGTAGAATCGGCGAAGCAGAGAAATAGCGTAACTGCCAGTTCCTTACGCCCAGATAACCCGCGGAATATTGAGAAGCCAAGGACTCCAAGGTTTGCTGTTAGTACTACAGCATCTAAATAGGGTATTAAGTGTTTTTACGGGTTTTTTAAGCCTTTCAGAAGCAAAACAATTTCAAATTCACTTACTAACAACATTTTGGAGCGCAATGTTGATAATATCCCACGTGGAGGACGACATTACGATTTAGGAAATGCGTAGGTTTAGGCTTGAGCTTAGGTTTGGCTTAGGTTTAGGCCTAAGAATGGGCTTAAGCCTAGGCTTAGGCTTGAGCCTGGGCTTAAGTTTAGCTTAGGCTTAGTTTTGTGTATAGTTGATATTAAGGTGGAGATAGGTGTCCGTACTTTGGGTTCTTAGACGGGCGGTTCGTTTTCCCGGACCGTGTGTTTGTATCGTGTGGGATCTCATGCGGCGCTGATGTCTAGGAAGCCGTTTTTGTGAAATTGCCCTGATGACAAGCGATAATTTCGTGTCAACCTGGAGTACATGACCGGGCGAGAGAGGGAGAGAGAAAGAGAGAGAGACATTTTCGAAGCTGTTCTAGCGTGTTTTTCAATTTATTCGACTCCCACGCTGTGTAGAAACGGAAACAGAAATTGTCTGTTTCCTGCCATCGTCTTCATTCAGAGTCTTGATGATGGTGGCCGCCAGGTAGACGTTCAGCAACGGTTTGGTCGTGATCAGGTTGAAGAATAGGGTTTGGTATCGGAGGAAGAAGGGGAGGGAGATGATGCGGATGCCATCAGGGATGACATAGGAGATGAGGACGGCTAGGACGATGGTTCCTGGAAATCCAAGGTTGAAATTCAGGCAGGCTTGCAGTGATTGATAGGGAATTCATGGAAAACGGTGGAGGCAAGCTAGCAGAGATCATTGAGGAAGCGAGGGCAGGCTAACATAGATCATTGAGGAAGTGGAGGGCAGGATAGCAGAGATCATTG